AATGCGGAAGTGACATCAATACTCAAAGACTGTAACATGAACTCAACCAGTATCAGTCCAACGGTATTTCAACTAGAATTATTTGATACACAGGAGAAAGGTAGTATAGAATTAACAGACAGGAGATCACCTGGACAGATTTTGAAACATAGATGATCACTGTGACACCTTTTGATGAAATCAAGATAATTAGTAGAAGAAGAAGAGGAGGAGATTGGATTTATACCCCGACCTTAACTACCCAAACGTGTCTCAGAGCATCTTACAAACTCCTTTCCCCTCCCCTCCCCACAACAGACACCCTGTGAGGTAGGTGGGGCTGAGAGAGCTCTTGACAGAAACTGCCCTTTTTTCAAGAACATCTCTTATCAGAACTACGGCTTGCCCAAGGTCATCCAGCCAGGTGCAAGTGGAGGAGTGGGGGATCAAACCTGGTTCTCCCAGATTAGAGTCAGCACACTTAACCACTACGCCAAACTGGCTCTAGAACATGGGTACCCCCAAATTTGTTGGCAGTAGTGCTTTGCAGTTTGAAGGATAGTGGGAAAGTAATCCAAATACTTACTTCCAAATAGCTGGGAAAGATAAGTTAGTGGAAAACCAGATGTCTCAAAATGTACCTTTCATGTATCAGGTTGGAAGACACATGCTAAGAGAGAGGTTGGGTGATTCTTCCAATTCTCCCTTCCTGCTGCAGCCCAAAATACCCCTCAAAATGCTGGTCTTGGGAGGCAGAGACCCCCCCCCCAGAATAGTTTAGGGGAGACTGGAGGTCCGGAGGGAAGGGTGAGGATTGTCACTAATCTTCCCCCCCTCTCCCCACTTTCTGCCACTAGAGTGGTATCGTCTGCATATCTGAAGTTGTTGATGTTTTTCCCAGCAGTCTTTATTCCAGCTTCTGAGTCACCCAGGCCGGCATTTTGCATGATGTACTCTGCATATAAATTAAATAAGCAAGGGGACAATATACATCCCTGTCGTACTCCGTTTCTGATGCTTAACCAATCAGTTGTTCCATGACTGGTTCTAACTGTCGCTTCTTGATCCTTATACATGTTTCTCTAGAGATGTGGGGTGGTCTGTTACTCCCATCTCTTTATGGACTTCCCACAGCTTGTTGTGATCCACACAGTCAAATGCTTTAGAGTAGTCAATAAAGCAGAAGTAGATCTTCTTCTGAAACCCCCTTGCTTTCTCCATAATCCAACAAATGTTGGCAATTTGATCTCTAGTTCTGCTACCTCTACAAAACCCAGCTTGTACTTATGGCCGTTCTCTATCCACATACTGTGGATAAAAGTGAAATAAAAGTGAAATGAATAAAATAAATACTGCTGAAGCCCAGCTTGTAGGATCTTGAGCATGACCTTGATAGTGTGTGAAATGTGCAATTGTGCGATAGTTTGAACATTCCTTGGCATTGCCCTTCTTAGGGATTGGAATCTATACTGACCTTTTCCAGTCCTATGGCCACTGTTGTGTTTTCCAAATTTGCTGGCAAATTGAGTGCAGCACTTTAACAGCATCAAGAACACTAGCACAGCAACAGCTCTAGAGTTCAGTTCAGTTCAGTTCAGTTGACCTTTATTGGTATAAAATACCTTTAAAAGGATTACTATAAGAAGAAATGTACATTTAAAACCAAAAATAACCTGCCATAGAAAACCTAAGGTAGCATTTGATAGCGGAACTCCTCCTAGTGAAGATTGTTCCTGTGGCACAACTCTGCTTACGTATGATAGTGGGTGCGTGAGTTCTTTTACCCGTGTATCCAGAGGGCGGAGTCAGAACGGGCTCTCCTATTTCCCAAGAAGCGAGACAACACACTCGTGTTTAATGAATAACCTCCTAGTGAAGATTGTTCCTGTGGCACAACTCTGCTTACGTATGATAGTGGGTGCGTGAGTTCTTTTACCCGTGTATCCAGAGGGCGGAGTCAGAACGGGCTCTCCTATTTCCCAAGAAGCGAGACAACACACTGGTGTTTAATGAATAAATGTTGTCTTTACTAAATATCGTTGATCTCAAGCACACAAAAACAGATGCATTCACCCATACACTCAAGTTTCCTTTAGTTACAGTAGATACAGAAAGCAATCAGTAATAAAAATAATAATTTCAGACTAACAGTGAGGTAAGACACAGAAGGGTAGCGATTGATACTTATCTGATCCAGGGAATAGAGTTGGTCTCAACGAAGAAAGCAGGAACAAAAGTTCTAGCTAGAGGGATTCCATGCCACTCGGATGGACACAAGCCACTACGTGTGGGCTTCTTGGTTTGCACGTTCCAAGAAGGCTACATAGAATTCCCTGTAGTAGAGCTTAAGTTGAAGCAGAAGCAAAAGAGCTAACCAGAGAGATTCCACGCCACACTGATGGACTCAAGCCAATACGTGCAGGCTTCTTGGATGCATGTTCCAAGAAGACTACGTGGAATTGCCAGTGGTAGGACTCACTCAGTTGGGGGGGGGGGGGAATCTAGCTAGCTTGGGCTGCTAGCTGGCACAACTTAGTTACAGGGTGGGGTGGGAGATGGCTAGCTAACTCTCTCGACAAAGGACAAAGGTGTGTATCACCTCTTAAAACCTAGGTTGGGGCTGGCCCTGTGTGCCAACCTCCTGTTCCTGGATCTGTCCCCTTCCCTATGTCTATTGGTGAATGGGGAGGTGACGTCTATCTGGAGGGAGTGGGGCAATATTCAAATTCTAAGCCTAAACTTCAATGGGAACCATTTGGTCAGGTGTCAAAGTTGTATTGTCATAGTAACCTTTGAATTGCAGATGCTGGCCTGGTCCAGAGTTGACAAACAGGATGTTTATTTTGTGATTCAAACTAGATACGAAGGGTTACATGTTATCCAGATGATCTTTAATGGTGGAAAGTTGTTGTTTCCAAGAGTCCATGTGACTGAGCTTAATGGAGAATGTTTTCTTTGTCCCAAAGCATGATGGGAAGGTCTGGGTGTGAGTGTGTGTGTCCATTAGCATCCTTAGGCCGGCAGAACAGGCCCTGCACATAGCAGCTTCCAGGTGCAAGCATGAAAAGCAAACCAAGCAAATCCAAGGCACACAGCATTTCCCAATCACATGCATACAAATGCAGAGACATTACAGACATACAAGCATCAGCATAGCATAAATAAAATACATTTAAAGCACACTTGGCAAAACATTACACAATTACTCATTGGAAGATTTCCTGATGTAGCTTTATCGCTGATTGTAAAAACATGGCTATGTTAATTGCTATTTCCGGAACAGAGTCATTTCGAAGACGGTTGCACTTTTAAAGCATCAGGAAGACTCGTCATGTTGGCTAAGATAGGGTTTAAATATCTAGCATGTAAAACCACATAAAATTGACTATGCAAACAAATATGTGAAACAGTTTCAATACATCCAGAGTTGCAATGGCAAAGTCTATCCGCATAGACTAAGTTATTATATCTCCCGTGCAAGACTGCTGATGGTATAACTCTGAATCTTGCTAGAGAAAAGGCTCAGCACTGTTGCGGTGCTTGTATACCAGGTAGATATGGGGCCATTCGGCCTACCATAAAGGGGGTGGACTCTGGAGAAAGAAGAATTTCGAATGAAATGAGTTTTTAAAATGAATCCTTAAACGTTCATATTTTTCAGATATAACAGATGGATTTGAGAGCAGTACAGTGCATACATTTAAGACAGTTTGATCAAGTATTTTTACAAAAAGTTTTCTAATCTAATCTCAGAACTTAAAAGCAAGCCCAAATCAAAATGCCTTGCAACACCCACCTGGCACAGGGATACCATCCTCCCACCCCGGGAGGGGCAGGGGAATACCCTTCCCAGGGCTCTTTTTGTAGAAGAAGAAGAAGAAGAAGAAGAAGAAGAAGAAGAAGAAGAAGAAGAAGAAGAAGAAGAAGAAGAAGAAGAAGAAAGAGATTGGATATATACCCAGTTGGGTGTAGTGGTTAAGAGCCAGTTTGGTGTAGTGGTTAAGTGCGCGGACTCTCACCTGGGAGAATCGGGTTTGATTCCCCACTCCTCCACTTGGACCTGCTGGATGACCTTGGGCAAGCCGTAGTTCTGATAAGAGCTCTTCTCGAAAAAGAGCAGTTTCTGTCAAGAGTTCTCTCAGCCCCACCTACCTCACAGGGTGTCTGTTGTGGGGAGGGGAAGGGAAAGGAGTTTGTAAGCCACTCTGAGACACCTTTGGATAGTGAAGGGCGGGGTATAAATCCAATCTCCTCCTCCTCCTCCTCCTCTTCTTCCCCACCTTTCACTACCCAAGGGAGTTTCAGAGTAGCTTACAAACTCCTCGCCATCCCTATCTTGCCACCTCAAGTGGCTTTTATATAAGGACAGGATGTGTTTTATAGCAGCTGTTTGTACGTTTGGCCTTAAGACCTCTGGTCAATGAAGCTAATAAATGAAAGGAAAGGAAAGGAAAGGAGAAAGGAAAGAAGCACTCTCTAAATTCCCTCAGAATATCTTTATATCTTTTTTCATTTCAAACAGCCTTTTGCAAGGAAGAAATGTGACACTTTGTCCAGATTTGAGGATTTTGATGCATTTGGTAAGTTTCTCCATATGTACATTTATGTGTATTCGCGTGTGAGTGTATGTCTGTGCGTCTGCACGTGTGCTCACACCAGGAAGTCATAGCGACCTCTGGTGACTGACCCAAACTGACTGACACGTGAGATCAAAGGTGACACAACACAGGCTCCTGCCAAGAAACCCATACTGCTTTCCTGGAACTCTTTACCCTTTTTAGGGGTGGGGTTTGACAACAACAATTACACAGCGCTAATAGGAAAGTATTTGGCACCTGCCCAGTAAGACTTTTAAAATTACACAGCCAGGAATAATATTGAAAATAAGTTATGGGGCTAAGGTCTCGCAAGCCTTCGCTCATATCGAGCTCCACGCTTTAATTATGGACTAAATGCACATAATGTTTCTGTTACAAGAGCGGGTGGCTTCCCTCTTTGCTCTCAATTTTCCTATAAGTACGAGGACTCCGGTCATCTCTCCATTCCGGCATCCACTGAGGCACCATCCAACCTTGCAGTCATGAAGATCTTTTCCTTTCTCTCAGCCTTTCTCTTCTTCATGCTGCTGGCTGCTCCAGGTAAACTCCTGAGCAAAACTCTGGCTGGCTGGAGACTTTGGCGGGAATAGGTAGCCCTATTGAAACTAAGCTACGGGGCCTGATTTTCCGATGTTTTCCAAGGTTAGAAGAAAATCTAGCGAAAATGGTGGATATTTGGTGTGCAAATATAATTCTCTTTTCTTTTTGCCTCTACAGCATTTGCTGATGACCCAGTGACCACGGCTGAGTGTCACGAGGCGGGTGGAAGGTGTCAGTTTCTGAGATGCCCACCAAACGTTTACCGGATTGGAAAGTGTGATGGTCAAAATACTTTTTGCTGCAGATAATCTAAGTAGGCATCTTTATAGGAGATGCTTTGCTGTGGCTGTTCCATTGTTTGTCCATAGCATAACGTCCATGTGAAAGGCACTTTACAGAGTACAGGGAGGCAAGTTGCTGCTTGGAGGAGCTTAACATTTAAAATTTGACAGAAGGGAGAGACAACAAAAGAGTTGGTGGAAAGGGGGAAGGGACAGGTCTACACAGGGAGGAGATGATGGCACTCTGCTTGCGTCGGGTTTAGGACCTAACCAAACAGGATGTTTCCCTTACGTAGTGTTATGAGTCTGTCTGTGCCTTTAAATGTAAATGATAAATAATCACAATGCGGAAGTGACATCAATACTCAAAGACTGTAACATGAACTCAACCAGTATCAGTCCAACGGTATTTCAACTAGAATTATTTGATACACAGGAGAAAGGTCGTATAGAATTAACAGACAGGAGATCACCTGGACAGATTTGGAAACATAGATGATCACTGTGACACGTTTTGATGAAATCAAGATAATTAGTAGAAGAAGAAGAGGAGGAGATTGGATTTCTACCCCGCCCTTCACTACCCAAAGGTGTCTCAGAGCCTCTTACAAACACCTTTCCCCTCCCCACAACAGACACCCTGTGAGGTAGGTGGGGCTGAGAGAGCTCTTGACAGAAACTGCTCTGTTTTTCAAGAACATCTCTTGAAGGTCATCCAGCCAGGTGCAAGTGGAGGAGTGGGGGATCAAACCCGGTTCTCCCCGATTAGAATCCGCGCACTTAACCACTACACCAAACTGGCGCTAGAACATGGGTACCCCCAAATTTGTTGGCAGTAGTGCTTTGCAGTGTGAAGGATAGTGGAAAATAATCCAAATACTTACTTCCAAATAGCTGGAAAAGATACGTTTGTGGAAAACCAGAGGTCTCAAAATGTACCTTTCATGTATCAGTTTGGAAGCCACATGCTAAGAGAGAGGTTAGGTGATTCTTCCAATTCTCCCTTCCTGCTGCAGCCCAAAATACCCCTCAAAATGCTGGTCGTGGGAGGCAGATACCCCCCAGAATAGTTTAGGGGAGACTGGAGGTCCAGAGGAAAGGGTGAGGATTGCCACTAATCATCCCCCCCCCTTCCTTGTACCTGCAGAAAACTAGGCAGCTTCCAGGCCGTCATCAGCTTAATAATTTCTGATGAATAATGGGCCTTTAAAAATTGGTAGTATTGAATGTAAGGTAACGAGAATACCCCGTAGTTGGCCATTTGATCATATTCTGAAATGTATAGCATTTATACAAGGCTGTGAAATTTGTTACAGAAAGAACCCATTGAGTTCATCAGAAGCTATGCAAAGAACAAGTTGGGTTCCATAAATGTCCTCAAGGTGGGGGAGATGAATAACTGGGAAATTTCCCTTCTGCACACATCTCACCCTCCAGGATGAGACTGATGAGCTGGAGCCGTTGAATATGCTCTTTCCCATTTTGCTGGTGCTCAATAGCCTTCCTCTTCTGCGTTTCCCAGAGGAGAATCGGCATGTTCAGACCTTATCAGTCTTTTCAGGCATTTGAAATATTACAAATCATGGGCCGGATCCGGCCAGCTTTTTCACTCCACGGGACTCACGTGATCCCCAGTATGGTTTGTTTATTTATTTATTTATTTTGGTGGCTCAAGGAGAGTCTTCATTTTTTTATCATCCGCAAATTTAGCCACTTCACTGCTTACTTCCATCTCTAAATCATTAATGAATAAGTTAAAAAGCAGTGGACCAAGTACTGATCCCTGCAGTACCCCACTGCTTACCACCCTCCACTGAAAAAATTGCCCATTTATACTCACTCTCTGTTTTCTATGAATTAGCCAGTTTTTGATCCATAAAAGGTCTTGTCCTTCTATCCCATGATTTTTGAGCTTACTTAGGAGCCTTTGATGAGGAACTTTATCAAAAGCTTTCTGGAAGTCAAGGTAAACAATATCTATTGGATCCCCCTTGTCCACATGTTTGTTCACCCCCTCAAAGAACATTAACAGGTTTGTGAGACAAGATCTTCCCTTACAGAACCCATGTTGAGTCTGCCTCAATAGGTTTTGTTCATCTATGTGCCTACTAATTCTCTCCTTAATAATTGTTTCCACCAATTTACCTGGTATCGACGTCAGACTGACTGGCCTGTAATTTCCCGGATCTCATCTGGAACCCTTTTTAAAGATGGGAGTGACATTAGCTACCTTCCAATCCTCAGGAATGGAGGCACTAGGCTCCGAACCGGCTATTGTTCTCTCTACTGAAGGTGCACAAGACCGCGTGGCTTCCTTAGCGCTTACATGCCCAGGCATGTCTGTGTCAACACATAACATGGTCAATGCCAGCCTGGCGTCCTTAGGGCCAGGGAGGGCCAGACGATTTCGCCACCCTGACCGTCGCGCTCTCTGGGGAATGTGGGGAAAGGCAGCCCCTCAGGTAGGTTTGACTATTTAGCTTGCACAGATGTTCAGCTTTACCTTAAAAGAAAAGGCAAGTCTCTAGGCCTTTTCGGTCCGGAGACGGCAGGTGGAAAAGAGGCCCGCAGTCAGGGAAGTCACCCCTGTGACTGACAAGGGCGAGAGCTTTCCGCCTACCACAAGCTGCTCTTTCTGAGTTTGCCTCAGCTGATGACTCGCAGGAGCAATTGGTAGCCTCCAGGGCCCAGGGTTTTCGGCAGGGCCCACTGCTCTCGACCCCCCCCCTCACTTATTTGCTAGTGCTCCAGTGTGCTCCCAGCTACACTCACTGTCCGGTGTCTCTGGGAAAGGGAGTGCTGAGCATGGGCAGTGGGAGAGTTCACAAGTGGGCAGGGGAAGGGGACACTCAGGCAGGTGAGAGATGTGGGTGGGGGGGAGGGCGTGAGGGTAGCCTCCTGGCGGGAAGACATCAGAGAAATATTGTGTTGATCCATATTATTGTCATTCCCATTGTACTCCATGAAGAGACTGGTGACGAATATAGAGGGTGCATTCAGACAGGCAGCCAATCCCGCCATTCGCCCGGCTCTAATTTGATCCCAATTTTTTTAATGTGTTGTTGCAGGACCAGACAGCCCAATGACAGAGAGACGACCAGACAGACAGAATCTCTTCTTCTTCTTTTTCTTCTTCTTCTTCATCGCTCGTTGCTGCTTACTTTATGTTCCAAAGGTGTATTGTTATAAATGTTTATTCAAATAAAGCATTTAATTTTTTTTAAAAAAAAGACATGCAAAAGTATGCTAGCACTGTTGAAGTGTGAAAACGGAAGCAAACGAATAGACCGCTTTTTTGAAGACGGAGTCAGAAGGCTGGGATACCGGTGGGAAAGACAAATGCAGATTCAACCTGAATGTGGTTTTGAACCGCATCTTTTTCTGTTCCAGTGTGGGTTTGGTAAGACAGTGGAGCAAATTCTAGATGCAGATTCAGCCTAAGTTGAAAAAGATATTCAAAACCGCTTCCTATTCTGCAGGAGTGTTTCCTCTCTATCTTTTACATTCCTTGGATTCTTATATATATTTTTCACATATATCGTTTTTTTCTCATATCATTGAAGTTTTTTTCTTTGTTTAACAGATGACAGTGGATGGAGTTATATGTGTTGGCTAAGAGCTTGGAAAAACAAAGTTTTTCAGTCTGTTTTTTTTTTCCTTCACAGCTCTGTTAAGATTCTTTAAAGTAATAATGCCACTAAAATAATCCAGGAACGTAGCCAAGACTGTGTTCATAGTCCAGGGGTCATTTCCTGCAGGAGCGCACAGGAGCGGAGCTCCAGCAGTAAAGAGCCCAGGGGGCGGGCACATGCAACAACCCCCACCCCCTGCTCTCAGCAGCCCCGGGCCACAGATACGTTGCAGAGCCCCCCCAGATAGCAATCCAAAACAGTTCAGTGCAACCTTTAAGGCCAAGGTTTATTCAGGTACAAGCTCTCCCTCCTCTGTGAGGGCAGATCCGTGTGTCCCCCCCCCATAGTTAGCAATCCAAAACAGTCCAGTGGAACCTGAGCGGTGGGTTTTGCCTTCCGACACACTTCCGGTGATGTCAGGGGGTGAGGCATATGCAAATAAGTTATGCTAATGATTATGCTAATGAGCTCCTGCACCTCTTTTTCTATGAAATTACCTCTGATTAGTACCATTCTCTATGGTCTTTGACCACAGACATATATATATTTACTCATACTTATGAAATGTATTTTTACATGGATGAAATGTATTTTTACATGGATGTTACCTATGATAGATATTTGCAACATAAAAAGTATAACAAAGCATGTTAAAATTAGCAGAATAGTGGTTTCTCTTTGGCAAGTGATATATTTTATCTCTCTAAATTTAATGGATTCCATGTGTTAATCACTCTTTGGGTGGAGAAGGACTTACTTTTATTCATTCTAACCTGTCTGCTCTGCAATTTCATGGAGTGCCCACAAGTTCTTGTATTGTGAGAAAGGGAGAAAATTACTCTAAAAAGACTCTGTTTAACTCTAAACGTTTTGTGAGCAAGAGAGTCTAAACAGAAAAGAAACAAGTTGTGTTTAAACTGTGTAGTTAGACAAATGTTTATTCTTGTGTGCCCAGGACTAAGATCTTAACCAGTGTGGCTACGTATATGAGAGAGAGAGAGAAGCCTGTCAGAGTGGAATTTTGGTGTCTGAGTTTGACACCCAGCTTGCTAAAAGTTCTTTTTTTTCCAGAAATCTATTTTGTTCTTATTTCAATAAATCCATTTTTGTTTAAATATATAAAGTATTCAGTACAGTACTTCCTCAGGGCCACATAGTCTTCTGAAGTGCCCAGACCCTGGGTCACACTACCAAAGAAGAGGGATTTGGAATTTTTAATTCCTGGTGGCAGCAGATAACGACCAAGTTTATATACAAAGTGTGAATTAAAGAACAAACCATTTCCCCTGTAAGCAAGTACATCACAGGAAAAACAGAGGCCCTCCACTAGTAAGGATGCCACACTGGACCTTTCTGTTTTTTTCTATGCTATGTAGGTTTTGCTGTAACTGACTTTGGTTTCTTGGTTCAGAAGTCCCATAAGCCTTTGCTCTTTTGTTGGCAGCCTAGGCTTAAAAACTAAAGGCCTTGCCCTGTAGATGTGCCTTTGTCTGAATTCACATCCCATGGCCAGCCAAGCGCCAGGCTCCAAAGCCTAAAGATATCTGTCTAGGTCTTTTTGACATTGCAGTTAATAAAATCTATCAGGGTTAAAGGTCATACTAGCAGAGGTTCATCTTATCAGTGTAGGATGGGCTGGTATTTGGCCAGTTTGGTATATTTTTAATGGACTCCTCCCTTGATTCCTATTGGCTGAAAAGAGAATAGGAAGATGGCTCTGAGCTTTGTTTGGGGCTGTTTGGCCAAGACCCCACCTAGGCTTGAGTGAGGTATTGGTGTACAGTCCAGGAATTCCTTGTTCTTTCTGAAGTGTACACTATATCATGTATTGGGATTTTTCTATATGCTATTGGGTACTGATCTTGAATATATGCTATTGCCAGGTCCAGGTTGGAGAATAGCTGGATACTTTGTGGGTGGAGCCAGGAGAGGGTGGGGTTTGGGGAGGGGCCTCAGCACAGCACAATGCCATAGAGTCCACCCTTCAAAGCAGCCATTTTCTCCAGGGGAGCTGATCTCTGTCAGCTGGACATCGATTGTAAAAGTGGGAGATCTCCAGCCCCCCCCCTGGAGGCTGGCAACCCTAAGCCAGACTCCACCCACCCATAGAAAAGAACCCTAATAGGCTTGGGGATCCCTGGAAGAGACCTGGACCCCGAAAAAACCCCTATATTCATCTCTTGCAAACTGAGGATCATGGCTTCCTTTCTAGAGTCAACCCATCTCATGTTGGGTCTTCCTCTTTTCCTGCTGCCTTCAACTTTCCCCAGCATGATTGTCTTTCCCAGTGAATCTTTTCTTCTCATGACATGGCCGAAGTATGGTAGCCCTCAATTCAGTCATTTCAACATCTAGGTAGAGTTCACACTTGATTCGATCTAAAGGGGAGCGGTGGCACAGAGGATTTATCCTCTGGTTAGCAACCTCTGAGCTGAACAGTATGGCTGAACAGTACGGCTGTCAGTTCTAGCCCCGTGCTGGTGTGAGCTACCAGCCTTGTCCCTAGCTTGCCGTCCACCCAGTAGTTTGAAAGCTTTGGCAAGTAGAGGGTGGGCACACCAAAGACTCCCCCCGGTGGGGGAGGTGTTAGCCGGCAACTGGAACACTCAGCTCGTGAGATTGTAAGCCTACGAAAAAAATCTCCTCGACTCCGAAGCCAGTAATGGGCCATTCCGGCCAGGCGGTGGCAGTGAAGCACTGCAAGACCTGGAGAAGCTGACGTCATCTAGCCAAGCCGAAGTGACGCCGATGGAATACGTCTGACCCTGCAGCTGAACAAACCCTCGCCGACTGTGAAGTGTGTGATTTAAAAGATATATGTTGTCATCCCTTACCCCCATAAATCATTGTTAGTCCTGCGTTGAATGAGTAATGGTAATTCCTCGGAGCCATCAAGCTCTGCAGGATTGAGTGATTAATAACAAAAGAGAAATAGGTGGGTATTATTATTATTATTATTATTATTAATAATAATAATAATAATAATAATACCCACCTATTTCTCTTTTGCGAAGTTCACAGAATCCATAAAACTCTCCTCCAACTCTACGTAAAACTCTCCTCAAATGAGCCGTCTTCCTTTCTGTCAGCTTTTTGAGATTAATGTCTTTCTTTAAATATTGCCCCGCCGAATTAGTGATGTAGATCAACTCATTGTACTAAACTAGTCGAACCTATGCTCTGGTCTCCTTGTCTTTATTTGGGGTGCCGATCAATGCACCCTCTAAGCTGTGGAGACTCGTGAGGACAAATTCTACTTTGTGAGCAAGAAATTTAGCTACTGCATAGATTAGTTTGCTCTAGAGCCATCCTTCCTGAGCGAAGACAAAAAAAAAATTGTGAGTTGGAGGCTAAGAAATTGTAAGCTAGCTCACACTAACTCAGCTTAGAGGGAACACTGGACAGAATGGAGTGGGTGCAGAGGAGAGCGACGAGGATGATCAGGGATGATCGGGGGCCTGGAGACCAAGAAGTCCCGAGAGGAAAGGCTGACAGATTTGGGAATGTTCAGTCTGGAGAAGAGGAGGTTGAGAGGGGACATGATGGGTCTCTTGAAGTATTTGACGGATTGTCACTTAGGGGAGGGCAGGGAGCCGTTCCTGTTGGCGGCAGAGGATAGGGCTTGCAATAATGGGTTTAAATTATGTGTGCAAGGTACTGGCTGGATTTTAAGTATTTTTTTTTAAAGTGTGCAATTAAATTTATTTTTTAAGTGTGCGATTAAATTTAAAGTGTGCAATTTAAATTAAGTGTGCAAGGTACTCTCTGGATTTTAGGGATTTTTTTTTTTTTACAATAAGAGTTGTGCAACAGTGGAATCAGTTGACTAGTAGTCTTTAAGCAGCAGCTGGACAAACACTTGTCCTGACTAGGGTTGTCAGCTTCAAGTTGGGAAATCCCCATATCTTTTCATTGCTGTATCTTTTCATTTTTTCAAGCTCTTTCCGAACGTCAAAGTTGAATTCTTCTGTGTTGCAATTCCAAGCAATCTTTTCAATGGATGAACAATCAAAGTGGGGCGCTGTTGAAAACTAAAATGTCCTGGATAAAAATATCTGCTCCAGTAAGGCTTAAAAAAATGTTTAAAGCAAAACCAGGAGAGTGATATCACGATAAAAAGGAAGCTTTATTCAGGAATGCAAACAAAGGACAGGAGTGAACAGTATGACGAAGAAGGGCTTGGGAAAAGACAAACTGACATTCCGGCACGGACAGCTTCCTAACAAGGAAGGAGAGAAAGGGGGGGGGAGAGACGGATGCCATTTATAGAGTAATCGAAATATTTCAATAAAGGGGATACATGAAAGTTATGTCAGGGGACAGGGATGCCGATAGGACCGCTTCCCTCTGTTGATCTGAGCTGGGATGAAGGCGGCTCAGCAGATCTAGAGCCAGACGCATATGTTATGCCATGGATTTCTTGACCATTCTTCTTTGACATTTCAATTGCAGGGGGAGTAGCAGGGGGAGTAGCTGCCACGGCGCCCCATGATAAGGCTGCCTCTGCGACCCCCGAAGCTCCCCAGACGCCCTCCAAGAGAACCAAAACTGCCTCCAGAAATCACTCTGCCGGGACCGCCATAACTAACAGCACATGGAGTGTTGCCTCCTACAGCAACTGGTTCACCGGTAGCAGAGAGGATGGGTCCGGGGAGGGTCATGACGACGGGAGGTGGCTGGATCACGACTTCTGCAGGTGGGATCTGGTTGATGCAGGAAGGGTTGACCCCGGAGAGGACGCCCAGGCTAGCGGAGGGCACCCCAGAGTTGTGGCTGAAACTTCCTGAGCCAAAGCCAACGACTGGAGAAGAGGCCACGGAGGGAACGGCAAAGGATGGTGACCCGTATCCAGTTATTGTGCCAGAATGGAGGCCACCGTAGCCGAGACCTGCTGATCCGAAGCCAACGGCTGGAGCGGAGGCACAAGAAGGAACTGCAAAGGATGGTCCACAGTAAGCCATGTCTGAGCGATGTAGGTGTGTCTGCAAGAACAGAAGAAATATTATTATTATACACGAGAAGAGGCTCCGTGTGTCTCATGCACAGAACAAGGTCTTAAGAACCTCAGAAGAGTCCTGCTGGATCAGATCAATGGTCCATCTAGTCCAGCATCCTGTCTCACATAGTGACCAACCAGTTCCTCTGGATTGCCAACAACAGGGCACAGAGGCCGAGGCCTTCATAAGAACATCAGAAGGGCCCTGCTGGATCAGACCAATGGTCCCTCTAGTCCAGCATTCCTTCTCACACAGTGGCCAACCAGTTCCTTTGGAGGGCCAACAACAGGGCACAGAGCCCGAGGCCTCCATAAGAACATCAGAAGGGCCTTGCTGGATCAGACCAATGGTTCATCCAGTCCAGCATCCTATCTCACATAGTGGCCAAGCAGTTCCTCTGGAGGGCCAACAACACAGCACGGAGGCTGAGGCCTTCCCCTGATGTTGCCTCCAGGATCTGGGATTCATGGGTTGGCTACCTCTGGAGGCAGAGGTTCCCTCAGTCACCATGGTTCACCCCTATACAGGATGGAATTATTATTTTTTAGCCCAGCCAGACAAAGGGATCCCAACACATTGGGAACATTGGTACACTCAAGTAATGAACATTGAATCTGCATAAAATGTATAATAATAATTTTAAAAATTGTCTGTCCATCCTTCCCCCCCAATGAAAGCTAAAGTTATCTCTTTGTCGCAGCCAGAAGTCATAAAAGAAAGCTAGATCTTCAAAATTGCTCCCCCCCCATCTTCAGGATGATAATAGGAGGGGAAATGGTAAAACTTGAAGGAATCGGGACATCTTGGTTCACTTCATGCACAGTCCATTCTATGATATTTGTAATGGGATCGAGGGATCTCTGCCTGTGTCAGGCATAACTCAGCTGAAAAGGAGGCAGTCAGAGGGAAACTGCTCACCAGTTCCAGATGACCACGGGAACTGCAGGTCTAAAAATGAAGGGAATTGGGACATCCTGGCCCATGTTAACTAAAGAACCCTCCATACACAGCTGTGCTGTTTACAACAGCAACAATAATTATCCGTTTGTGGCAGGTGTCACACCTAAGAAAATAAAGCTGGGATCCTCAAAATTGGCCACCAGCTTCAGGTAGGGTCCCCAACCACCACATGGGCACAGAAGAAGAAGAAGAAGAAGAAGAAGAAGAAGAAGAAGAAGAAGAGGAGGAGCTTGGATGTATACCCCGCCCTTCACTACCCAAAGGTGTCTCAGAGCGGCTTACAAACTCCTTTCCCTTCTCCGCCCCACAACAGACACCCTGTGAGGTAGGTGAGGCTGAGAGAGCTCTGTCAGAAACTGGTCTTTTTCAAGAACAGCTCTTATCAGAACTATGGCTTGCCCAAGGACATCCAGCCAGGTCCAAGTGGAGGAGTGGGGAATCAAACCCGGTTCTCCCAGATTAGAGTCCGCGCACTTAACCACTACACCGAACTGGCTAGTACGATGGGGATACAAAGACTTCCCCTATAGATCCCAACCAGCACCTTCCATAGAATTACAGTCTCCAGAAGTCTTTGGGTGGAGGAAGGACTATTAATTTCCTTCTGTAGAGAAATGGAAAGACCAGGAAAGCCAAAACATAACGAGACTGTTTAGACTGGAGGAGAGGAGGTTGAGGAGGGACATGATAGCTCTCTTGATGGATTTGAAGGGCTGTCCCTTGGAGGAGGGCAGGGAGCTGTTCCTTTTGGCAGCAGAGGAAGACTCACAATGATGGGTTTAAATTTAAGGGTGGGAAAGTATCGGCTGGATATGAGGAGAAACTTTTTTACAGTCAGAGTTGTGCCACAGTGGAATCAGCTGCCTCGGGAGGTGGTGAGCTCTCCCTTCCTTGTAAACTTTAAGCAGCGACTGGATGGGCACTTGTCAGGGATGCTCACAGCTGATCCTGCATCGAGCAGAGGGTTGGACTAGATGGCCTGTATGGCCCCTTCCAACTCTGTCATTCTATGATTCCATGAGGATGCAGTGCTGGGAATCCTCACCAAAGGCCAAGCCACAGATAGGGATGAGCAACTCCCCCTATCCGTCTGCTTGTGGGGAGATGCCCCCGAGCAGGGCTCTTTTTGTAGAAAAAGTCCAGCAGGAACTCATTAGCATAATAGACCACACCCAACAGAAAAAACTCATTAGCATATTAGGCCACACCCCTGACAACACATCTTATTAGCCTATTAGGCCGCACCCCCGTGTTACCAGAAGTGTAGTCATCCAGCCACACCCACCTTTTGCTTCTTAGTCTGTTTATCCTGTTTGTTGTCAAACCCCAGAGCTTTTTTTTTGTAGCAGGGACTCCTTTGCATGTTAGGCCACACACTCCTAATGTAGCCAATCCAAATGAGTTTCTGCTGTTGGGTGTGGCCTGTTATGCTAATGAGTTCCTGCTGGGCGTGGCCAACTCGGGAGCCAGCCGGAACTCCGTTCCTGTGCGTTCCTGCCCAGTAATAAGCCTGCCCCCGAGAGATCACCAAGAATCAAGAAGATAGTTTCAGAGGGTAGCCATATTGGTGTGCAGTAGAACAGCCAGATCCAAGGCTAGTAAGCTTCTGGCAAAAGGGAGCTTTGACTCACAAAAGCTTATATCCCCCCTGATCTGGATAGCCCAGGCAAGTCCGTTCTCGTCAGATCTCGGAAGCTAAGCAGGGTCAACTCTGGCAAGTACTGAGATGGGAGACCTCCTTGGAAGACCAGCAGTTGGGAGGACAGGGGCAGGCTTTGCTCAGCCACCTCTCTGAATATCCTCCAGGTCTTCGGTAGGGGTCAGTCACCAGAGGTCAACATGACTTCCGGGTGCACATGGTCAGTCACCAGGGGTCGCCATGCTTCCAGTTGCACACACCTTCGCACACACACATTAAAAAAATATCCAAACAAATCTTATATCCCAAAAATCTTGTTGCTCTCTAAGGTACTAGTAAAGGTAAAGGTTTCCCTCGCTCGAAAGCCAGTCGAATCTGACTCTAAAGAGGCAGTGCTCACCTCCATTTCCAAGCTGAAGAGCCAGCACTGTCTAAAGACGTTTCCGTGGTCATGTGGCACACGGAACACTGTTGACCTTCCCACCGAAGTGGTACCTATTTATCTACTTGCAATTTCTTGCTTTCGAACTGCTAGGTTGGCAGGAGCTGGGACCACAGACAGGAGCTCACTCTGTCATGCGGCACTCGGGTCTCAAACTGCTGAACTACTGACCTTCTGGACTTCAGTTCAGCGTCTTAACCACTTGAGCCAACGCAGCCCCTCTAAGGTACTACTGGACTCAGATCATGTAGCTCAGACACACAAGAGAAAAGGAGATATTAGGATAAGTCTCACCAATGCCCTATCTCAGTTCGTGTGGAAGTTTTTGGAGAATCCAAACTCACCTGCTTCTCTGAGGAAGTCTGTGGAGAAGAATGGCAAGAGGAAGGCAAAGATGAAGCTGTTGGAAGGCCATAGAGATGCCGGAGCTTTTATACTGCATGGTGGCATTCTTCTCAATGTAGAGACGCCCCTTTGCCCTCAAGGTCTTAATTAGAATGCCATCAAAATCTGCTGGTTTCATCAGATGCAGGTTTACTTTAGACAAACAAATTATGCCATCATTACTAGTCTACAGTGATTAAAATCTGGCTCTTTTCATGTTCCATGAGATGTCCTGAGGAATTTTTTACTAAGTAGGCAGCACTTGCATAAACGCTAACATGTAAGTCCCGTTTAATTCTGCCGACTTTCATTTCTGGTGTACTTCATATGTTGGTAGTAGGCTCTTTTTATATCAGCTATTTGTTGTTGTTCAGTCACACAGTCGAGTCCCCCATGGACCACATCATGCCAGGCCCTCCTGTCCTCTGGAGTTTGCCCAACTTCATGTTCGTTGCATCGATAACACTGTCTAACTATCTCATCCTTTGCCATCGTCCTTCCCAGCATCAGGGTCTTCTCCAGTGATTCTCATCTTCTCATTTGGTGGCTAAAGTATTTTGAGGTTCAGCTTCCGTATCTGGCCTTCCACGGAACAGTCAGGGCTGATTTCTTTTAGGATTGACTGATTTGATCTCCTTGCAGTCCAAGGGACTCTCAATAGTCTTCTCCAGCACCATAATTCAAAAGAATCTATTCTTCAGCGCTCGGTCTTCCTTATAGTCCAACTCTCACAGCCATACAGTACTACTGGGAATACCATTGCTTTGACCATACAGACTTTTGTCGGCTGGGTGATGTCTCAACTTTTCATTATGCTGTCTAGGTTTGTCATCGCTTTCCTCCCAAGGAGCAGGCATCTTTTAATTTCATGACTGCAGTCACCGTCTGCAGTGACCTTGGATCCTAGGAACGTGAAGTCTGTCACTGCTTCCACAACTTCTCCTTCTATTTGCCAAGGAGTGGTGGGGCCGGATGCCATGACTTTAGTTTTTTTAATGTTGAATTTCAAGCCAACCTTACATTAAAAGCAATAAGGTAAAAATAACACAGAAAATAACAAATACAACATATTAACATTAAAATACATCATTATCAGCATACTACTATTAAAACAGCCCAAATACGTGGTTACCCTCCAGAGGCCTACCTAAACAATCCAGCTTTGCACGCCCTGTGGATACTAAACTAGTCTGACAGGGGACAGGTGTCATCTGAGAGTGCATTCCACAGGATTGGGGTCGCAACTGAGAAGGCCCTTTTCCTGGGGCTAGGCACCATAATTTGAAAAGCCATAGTTCTGACACAGCTGTTCTTGAAAAAGAGCAGTTTCTGTCAGAGGTCTCTCAGCCCCACCTACCTCACAGGGTGCCTGTTGTGAGGAGGGGAAGGGAAAGGAGTTTGTAAGCCGCTCTGAGACACCTTTGGGTAGTGAAGGGTGGGGTATAAATCCAATCTCTTCTTCTTCTTTATGTTGAGTTTCAAGCCAACTTTTGCACTCTCCTCTTTCACCCTGAGGAAGAAGCTCTTTAGGTCCTCTTCACTTTCTGCCATTAGATTGGTATTGTATCTGAGGTTGTTGATGTTTTCCCCAGCAATCTTAATTCCGGCTTGTGATTAATCCAGGCAGGAAACAATTAGGTTATCATGAAATTTGGATTCAGTTCCCTTATGGGGGCTATGTTAAATCACACGCAGCTGCCTTGTTTTAAGCCAGATCTGTGTTCCATCAAAGTTAGCACTGCCTCCTCAGACCTGCAGCAGCTTTCCAGGGTCTCACGTAGGGTTGTCAGTAAGTCACGCTATGTACAGATGTTGTCGACTCTAATGATGTCTAAGGTTTAACCAGGGTTCTTTTTGTAGCAGGAATTCCTTTGCATATTAGGCGACACACTCCTAATGTAGCCAATCCTCTGAGAGCTTACAGAGCTCTTCTTACAGGGGCTAGTGTAAGCTCTTGGAGGATTGGCTACATTAGGTGTGTGTCGCCTAATATTGTTAGCCCAGACATCCATATTGGGCTATTTCTGAGTTATAATAAATAAAGCTGATGCAAAGGGCTAAATGAAAGAGACTGTGATACAGAGTTCACTGTGAGGGCACTCAGAGATGACGATACCAGCTGAGAGTGTCTCCTGCTCATTGTGTATTGACGAACACAAAGACTTCAGTAAACACAGAAACTCATTAGCTAGCCCTAACACCTGGTCTCCACCCTGAATGGATTAAGGTGGTCACCCAAGGCCAGACTACAATGGACATTGATTCCACATGGCTAAAGCTGAGTCAGCAGCTGCAGGCTCCTCCGCACGTATTTCCCGCCCTTGCCCAGGTACCACCCCTCAGGTTAATCAATAGATTGAAAATTGACCTCATAGCCAATCCCTGACCCTTGGGGTAGGGCCACCTGGTAATCTGCTTGGGCCCACCTCCTCCCTGCTCGCAAGAAACCTTAAAAGATAGAACACAGAGCGACCACACCATTCCTTCCTTTTACCAACGACCCCTCTACGTCTGCTTTTCCTCTCAAATCCAGCTCCCTGTACCAATTCCTTGATTCACTTTACCTTAGTCTACAGCTAAGGCAATCCACATGTTCTCAGCTGGTCTGGTTACACGTGTTTCTACCATTTTCTCCCCTCCTACCCTCCTTCCTGCTGGAAGCTTTAGGAGCCGTGCTACGCCTGAGGTAAATATATTTCCCCTCAACGATACAACCTGCTAATGCGACTGTGCTTTACCAAATCTAACTATTTTATGAGTTCTTGTGTGTCTGTATGTTATTGTGTGCTTCTGAATGATATCTAGTAAATCGAAGTAAATTTTACTTCTGTCTCTGTCTCTTCATTGGAACGTATTGGCGCAGCCCATCCTCCGTAGACACTGACCAAGAATCCCTTTTAATACACTGTTCCAATTGTCTCTCCTAAAGAGCAATTCGGCTAACAATATGCAAAGGAGTTTCTGCTACAAAAAGAGCCTGCATGCATCCCAAGTGGCATCAAAACAATAGTGATAACACAGTACACCGAGTACAGAAAACAAACAAGCACTGTATAAATAACGCAGACCATGGAGTGCACAAAGGTCATGCAAAGGAAAATTATACTGTAACAAAAGCAAAACTAACAAAAATAACAAGGGACCACATATATCAGTACAGTAAGATTACATCATAAAATGTACAAGTCCATAAATAGTACACATAAGTTCATAAGTAGTTGACGAAGACTCCGGATTTTGATCTTCGTTTCAAGGGTTCTTCTTCAAGGAGTTCAAACTACTTCATAAAGTACTGATAATGTACAGAAGACCCTAACTGTAAGAGTGGTTGAGCAGTGGAACAGTCTGCCTCGGGAGGTGGTAGATGCTCCGTCACTGGACGTTTTCAAGCGGAGGCTGGACGACCATCTTTCGGGTATGTTGTAGGTATGTAGGGCTATATTTCGGCTATGCTTCTGCAGAGTGCAGGGGGTTGGACTAGATGACTAGGCAAGGTCCCTTCCAACTCTAACATTCTAACATTCTATGATTCTATGACTTCAATCATGTATATGTAGGAAAAAACCTTCACTCAGCACTCATAAAGCACAGAGGCCTTCAGACGAGTAATGCAGGAAAAATTCAGTCCTAATACTAATATAAAACCGGGCATCCGAACATTAGTGGAACATGTTCTCAAATAGTCAGTAAGCCTACCGATTCAGGGCTTTTTGTTTTTAAGAGGTGCCAGAACTCTCAAGAGGGAAATGTTTTCAGTCTGTATACTGAAAACTCATGAGCTTCTGAACTTTTTAAAGAGAGCTTTGTCAAAGAGGTTCTGGAACTCCATTCCAGTATGATCCATCAGGAAAAAAAAGCCCTGCTTACATTTATTCGAATAGATCCAGTACACATTCAGGATGCAGTCAAAGGAAGAGAAAAAGAAGCCGAATCAAAAGAGGACTTTCCCTGTCACAAATGGCCAGCTTGTCTGGCATCACATGTGTGGGAGTGGGAGGCCATTGTCTCTAGAGGAGAGACCTCCAGAGACATGTGTCTCCATGGAAGGCCATGTGAAAAGAGAGTGAGAGGACAAAGGGAGACAGAGGGGAAGGGTCAGAAGGCAGCTCCAACGTTAAGACTAAAAGAAGCATCCAATTCAAAAAGATAACACCTAAATACCCTGAGAGTGATGTAGCACCCCCCAGTATCCAGGGATGCTGAGTTGCTCACTCCAACAATATTTAGGCTCAGAAGAAGAAGAAGAAGAAGAAGAAGAAGAAGAAGAAGAAGAAGAAGAAGAAGAAGAAGAAGAAGAAGAAGAAGAAGAAGAAGAAGAACCCAAAGGAGTCTCAGAGCGGCTTACAA